CCCCCCCCCCCCCCCTCCCCTCCGTTGTGTTATTTTGTCGTGTTCAGAGATCGGCACCTCGCCACCCTTTTGATGACACTCTATTGCTCGGATTCATGCATCTGTCCAACAAGCGCCCTCCAGTTTTTGTCGGTGGTTGGTGTTTAGAGCCAGCACAATTGGCCTGTTTTGTATGCATACCATGTATATGTGCCAGCATGCCGTTGTCTCTTTTGCGCTGTTTTTGGGCTCTTTTTTTGTGCCTCAAACCTCCACGGCCGTTTCAGGAGCGGTAATTTTTGCTTTTCTGCTCAAAAGTTCTTCTATTTTTTTCCTTTGGCGGATTGAATCGTGCAGCGCGCCAAAGTTTGAGGGCCCGGTTGTTTGTCGTTGTTATTGTTGCTGTTGTCGTTATTGATGTTGGTGCTGTCGTCTTCCTTGCTGCTGCGAAAGTTTGTTTGTTGTTAGTATTATTGTTCTCTTTAGTTTACAAACTCGTGACGATATGGCGTTCTTGTGTCTTTGGGTAGTACAGGCATCTTGTGTACAATGCAGGCGGCAAGGATCCGTTCACCAAAAATTCCTTTTTTTGGGTATGTATTCACGTACCTCGCTTAAGAAAAACAAGAGCAGTATCACTACGTACGTACGTGCGTCGTAAGACGGGCGAGTGGCTACTGCTGCTGTTGGCGCGTTCTCGGGAGCAACCTACAGTAGGCGGCCACGTGCTAGCGAGTGTTGGACGGAAGAAGAAAGAGATTTGGTGGGTGGCTGAAAGGAGGAAGGGGGATGTAGGTTTTGTTGTAATCGTGTTATGATAGCACCGCGAAATGTGCAAGAAGAAGGAATTTGAAGACGGGAGAGAAAGAAAGTAGGAGTAGCAGTAGCAGTAGTAGAAAAGAGTGTATGTTTCACCCTTGTTCTTGTTATTTTTCCAGACGGTGGTGGTGGTTGGTTCCGTGGTTGGTATACTACAATATCTTGATCTGCTTTTGCCTGTTTGTAACATTTCTTGTTGGAGTATGGTTG